ACGTGTTTTTAAAATATAAACTTAATCTAAACAACTTTCATATTAAAATAAATACATAACAACAAATTAGTTACATTGAATACACTAATTCCCAATTTATCTAATTAATTTAGCAAACAAATCATTTTAATCATAAGTTCAACTTATTCAACTGACATTAGAAACCTATTATTTTCGTGGAAAAACACACTAAATCATTAGCACCTAATAAAGTTAGTAGCTTTTCTTTTAACATTAAGTGCATGTTTCATTTCAAACTCTGTATGGCTCTGATGAAAAAAAAAAAGGATGGGGACGAAAGATACAACCTTGTCCTACTCGCTTCTCAGAAGGGAAGTCAAAAGTTTATGGTAAATGACTTTAAAACTGTTAATCTAGAGCTTTAAGTAGTCCCTCAGTGTCATAGCGGTATGTCTACGGACTTGCAACGCTAGAATTCAGATAGCCCATTGTGTAGCTTTGTGCTTAATTAAAAACAAACAAACAGCTTTAAGATTTTTAAAAGTCATTCCTCGAATAATTATTTCTTTCCTAATTATATTCTTTTTAAAACTGTCAAAAAGAAGCATAACATAATTTTTGTTAATATTCTACCAGTCAAAGAGTTTATACAAAGTTCCTGTAATCGAAACCCCGGTTGACAATTATCCAATGTACAATAAAGCTAGTGCCGCTCAATGAAAAACTGCTTAAAAAACAGTTAAATTCCAATGAAAACGCCGTGATTTAAAGTCTTATTACCTATAATAAATAATCTGTGAAATATATCTTACATGGAACAGAAATTATGAGTGTGTGAGTTCAAGTTTTGTGCAATGTGATCGGGTCATTAATTTTATTTTCTACTTCTTCCTAAGTATTATAATTATCTGCACATGAAAATATCAAGGTTGATCTTCAACATGACCCTTCCAAGCCGTACACTGAATTTCTCAGCGTTTTAGTTTCTATAAAGATCTGTTTTATATCAATAACTAGGATCCCAGGTTTTTCTCAACTTTTTTTCCAAATATTCTGGTCTTCTCTCCAGACAATTAAATCTCTATCTTCTTTATTCTTTCTAGATGAGTTTCTTTATATTTAGTAAATCTTCTAGTTGTAAAAACCTATTCTAACGTACTGTTACGTTTGTTTATTTGTTTGTAAATAAGCAAAAAGCCACCCAATGGGCTATCTGCACTCTGCTTACCACGGGTATCGAAACCCGGATTCTAGCGTATAAGTCCGCGGACATACCGCTGTGCCACTGGGGGGGGGCGTACTGTTACGAAATAAATGTGCATTTGTGCACTTGGACAGCTATTTGTTTTTGGACATTATTTATACTTTTTGGTTTTTACAATTTCAAATGTGTAACATATTTACATACCTTCACTCAAAGCGCGCCCGTATTATAAGAATCACTTAATTTTGTTCAACCTTCGTGTGGTTTTTATTATAACCGTTATGATGGCAATTTGCTAAGGTTTTAGTAAAATATCGAAAGAAACAAAACAATATATTTTGTGTTTTAGTAATTTAATTGCTGTCATAGCATAAATTCGGAAATACATAGCTTTGTAAAGCTGTGGCGAACAATCAGTTCATCATATCAGAAACTGCTCTTCGTATATGTAGAGAAACGAAAACTATTTGACAAGCAGTAGCTAAATCTACAGTAAATTTATGAAATTCAATACGCTCCTTCTACATAACATGTCATCCCAAAGACAAATGCAGGTATTCGAAAATATTGTCGAAAATACTGTAACAAAAAACAATAGAACAGACGAAGTATCTTATAATTTCCTTTAACGGGCAAATCAAAATGCATTAGATATCGTCTTAATATTTTATAACGGGCAAAGAATAATACACTAGATGACAGTAATTGCATCAATGTTTTGAATGTTTAAAACATATGTAATATCTAATCGATAATATTCCACAGTTCTAACAGGTATAAAACCCGATAGTCATTTAGAGACAAATGCTTTCTGTCACCTTCCAAGTGACTCGGGCCCATGTAGAGCTGCTGTCAGAAACTATTACTACAACTCGGAAAATAAGCAATGTGAAGTATTTATCTACGGAGGCTGTGAAGGGAACGAAAACAATTTCAAAACCAAACAAGAATGTGAAGAAACATGTGGAAGTGAAACTCATGCTCCTGTAATTCCAGCCAGTAATGGTAACTTTTTATTTTCTATTGTTTATGTAAAAATGGCAAAAAAAAATAATAATAATTGTATGGTGGAAATAGTGCTGATGACAAAGAGTTTAATATTATTATAATTTTTTCTATTATTTGTATAAGAACAGCAACAAACTAAAGAAAAAACTTATTGAGTTGTATGGTGGCAAGTGTAATAAACTATATTAATTTTTTTCTTCTGTTTTTCACGTGTCACAAGACGTAAAAAAAAGGAAGCTTTTATGAAAATGTGTTGTAAAAGTAAAAAAAGTGAAATTTTGATTTTGCGACGCTTCTGTGGACGCCCTTGATATATCTTAAAAGACAAGCGTTTCGTGATAAACAATAAAAAATATTTTAACTATACACCTGGAAAAAAGTTAAGCACCCCCGTGTTTTTTTCAAGTGATTCAGATTCGACGTTCTTGTGACTGATTATAAATTACCATTCAATCTAAACGTGTTTATCAAATTAAATTATGCATTATTGGGCACAAGAAAACAAGATTATCACCGTAAAATAACAAGTTTTAATTTACATATCATGAC